GAAAGGCAAAGATCATTAATGTCTCTCCTTCCTCCATGTCTCCTGTATCTGAGGTCCTCCTTTCCCAGCTGCCAGGTGGTTGTTTTTCTTCCATTATTACAAAATCAATCTGTTCTCTTCCAGTAACTAGAACATCACCTTTTCCCAGTCATTCCCTTCTTATACCTTTCATCTGGAAGGGTCTGGTGCAAGAAGGACAAGGACATTTTTATAAAACTTACAGGGACTCATTATGCCCCCCAGTCTACGTGTGGGTCACCGATAGGGACTCAGAGAGGTGTACACACTGAGCCCTCTGGTTATTCTCACGATCCTGGACCATCTCAGTCCAACAAGAACACCTAGGTGGTTGAGCCACAATTGTAGGCCCCCCCTTTTTAAAATTTATTTATTTGAAAGAGAGAGAGAGGGCATGAGAGGGGGGAGGGTCAGAGGGAGAAGCAGGCTTCCCGCCCAGCAGGGAGCCCGATGCGGGGCTCGATCCCAGGACCCTGGGATCATGACCTGAGCCGAAGGCAGACGCTTAACGACTGAGCCACCCAGGTGCCCCGGGAATTTTTTTTTTTTATTAAAAGATTTTATTTATTTATTGGACAGAGAGAGACACAGTGAGAGCAGGAACACAAGTGGGGGGAGTGGTAGAGGGAGAAGCAGGCTTCCCGCGGAGCAGGGAGCCCGATGCGGGGCTCGATCCCAGGACTCTGGGACCATGACCTGAGCTGAAGGCAGATGCTTAATGACTGAGCCACCCAGGTGCCCCAGGAATTTTTTTTTTTAAAAGATTTTATTTATGGGGCGCCTGAGAACATACTCTGTACGATTTCAACCCTTTTAAGTTTACTGAGACTTGTTTTATGGTTTAACATATGGTCTATTCTGGAGAATGTTCCATGTATACTTGAGAAGAATATGCATTCTGCTATTGTTGGGTGGAGTGTTCTATAGATGTCTGTCAGGACTTGGGCTGGAGTTGTGCAGCTGTGACTTTTCTTTTAAAGGAGACTACCTTGACGGGCGCCTGGGTGGCTCAGTCAGTTAAGCGTACAACTCTAGATCTCAGCTCAGGTCTGGATCTCAGGGTCATGAGTTCAAGCCCTGCATTGGGGCTTGAACTGGGCCTGAAGCCTACTTAAAAAAAAAAAAAGCACAATAAAGGAGTCTACCTTGGTAGAGGCTATTTCTATCTCACTGTGATAATAACATCTTGTTTTTGCCTAGTTTTAATGTAAGGGCTAGGAGCGTTTTCTATGACAGTGGAGCTGATCACAAGAATTTAACTAGATCTCTTTGTGTCACCTTTAGCAGCGTTGTAAACCCAAACTAAGACAATAAGGACCCTAAGAGTAATCGATGACTCATCGTGGTTTTCTATGGGAGTTGGTCTGTCTCAAGAGAGTCTCCCTGAGTGGGATAAAGCTCCCTTAGAGCAGCCAGGACTCACTGGAAGGAAAAAAACAAAAAAACAAAACTGAGACCTTTTACTGTCATCTTGGAGTGGGTGTAAGATTGGTGTGACAGACAGTAGGAAGGACTGAGCTGTAAGATGGCTCAGCTGTTGTTATTCTCCCTTAACAAGCAGCACATGTCTTTCCCCTCACCTCCCAAGTGAGCCAGCAAAATTCTAATGATTCATCTGGTTTTTGTCCGTAGTGGTAGTAAATTTCCCTCCATTCATGTTTAGTGTGTGTGTGTGTGTGTGTGTGCGCTATCTGAAAGGGGATAGAAACTTCTGTACGCCCCGGATGAGTCTTAGTACTGATTGTTACAATGGGGCAGACCTGAGGCTGGCCCCTCCCCTCCCCTGTCCCACTCAGAGGAGAGTTAGCAACAACCTGGACGATGTTTGGCAGCTGACTTTGAATCTACGTCCGGGTTCTCCGCCGGCAACTCCCTCCCCAATTCGTTCTCATGAACAGGAAATAAAGTTGAAGCCCATTTATTGCTTGGTTGATTATACAATCTGGTCCACGTGTGTACTGCTGATTCCCTTGGTCTTCCCTCCAAACCTGTTAGTAAACGCATGAGGGCCTTATACTTCCTCATACCAAAAACCGTGTTTCCAGGGCGCCTGGGTGGCTCAGTTGGTTAAGCGACTGCCTTCGGCTCAGGTCATGATCCTGGAGTCCCGGGATCGAGTCCCGCATCGGGCTCCTTGCTCAGCGAGGAGTCTGCTTCTCCCTCTGACCCTCCCCCCCCGCTCATGCTCTCTCTCTCTCTCATTCTCTCTCTCTCAAATAAATAAAATAAAATCTTAAAAAAAAAAAACAAAAAACCGTGTTTCTGTCAGTATCTCATCCTCAGTGCCCAAACAATCAAGAACTGTGAAAGAGTTTCTCCCTATTTTCAAATAAACACCCTATTTCAAATCACTCATTTCAGCCTATTTTCAAATAAACAAGTTATGGTGACACAATTTCATGGATACCGGCAGAAGACGTGAGACTTCTGAGGCAGAGATTAAGGACTTTATTATTCACAGCACCCAAGTGTTATGAACATGAGCATATTTGTCACTTCCCCTTACCCTCAAGTCTCGCCAAAGCAAGGCAGGTGGACTCATATGGATGCCTACACACAGGCTGAGTTGTGTCATAGTGAGAGGAACTCTGAGCTTGGACTGTCCAAGGCTGTTCACTATACAAACATCCTGGAACAAGACAGTCCAGAACCAAGGCAGTCTCCCTGCTTGCTGCAACTGCATTCATGTGAGAGACTAGGAGTCAACGGCCTCCTACCACCCCTTTCCTCACATCTCACTAAATCCCCACGGCAACCCCGCCAAGTAGGTATAACTGACCTGGTTTCGCAGATAAGGAATCGAAGTCCAGAGAAGTGAAGTGAATTACTCCTGGTGACATAGCCAGTAAGCAGCAGATCCGGGATCAAACCCAGGCCAACCTGATTCCAGGCCTGTGCCTTGTCCAAGGGAGGGGCTCGGAGGGGAGAAAGGTGATGGGAATTCCCTTGAGTAGTGGGAGGGGATTGTAGGGAGGGTGGGAAGGGTGGAGGGGGGCCAGGAGCCAGATTTGTAGGACCTTGGAGACCATAGTAAGGACTTTGGATTTTTGTCTAAGTGTGATGGGGAGATGCCAGAGACTTTCGAGCAAAAGAGAGATATGACCTGATTTATGTTTTAAAGATTTATTTATTATTTATTTGAGAGAGAGAGAGAGAGCACAGCAGGGAGGGGCAGAGGGAGAGGGAGCTGAGCGCAGAGCCCCACGTGAGGCTCAATCCCACCACTCCAAGATCATGACCTGAGCCAAAACCAAGAGTCCAATGCTCAAACAACTGCGCCACCCAGGCACCCTCTGATTGATTGATTGATTTAAAAAATATTTTATTTGGGGCGCCTGGGTGGCTCAGTCGGTTAAGCGGCTGCCTTTGGCTCAGGTCATGATCCTGGAGTCCCGGGATCGAGTCCTGCATCGGGCTCCCTGCTCGGCAGGGAGTCTGCTTCTCCCTCTGACCCTCCCCTCTCTCATGCTCTCTGTCTCATTCTCTCTCTCAAATAAATAAATAAAATCTAAAAAAAATATTTTATTTATTTTGTCAGAGAGAGAGAGCACAAGCAGGGGGAGCAGCAGGCAGAGGGAGAAGCAGGCTACCCACCAAGCAAGGAGCCTGATGTGGGACTCGATCCCAGGACCCTAGGATCATGACATGAGCCGAAGGCAGACACTTAACCAACAGCCACCCAGGTGTCTCCTGATTTATGTTTTAAAAGAATTATTGTTTCCTGTTCTGTGAAATGGGGATAACAATAGTACCTTCCCGATAAGGCTGTCATGAGGAGTAAATGACAGGGATTAAACAGGAGGGCGAGTGCCAGGGTCTTAGTTGGTGCCAGGAAGAATAAGCTGTTGGCTGAGTGGATACTGGCCATGATGATGACACAGAAGGGTGCACTGAGGAATTTAGGATGGGGCTGGGAGCTGAAGACAGTATGGACCTAGAGGTGTACATGCTGGCTAGAGTCCAAGAGTTCCTCTACTTAGCTTGGCCGAACTAACGTGGGGTCAGGCCCTGAGTCAGGAACACTGCTGCCCAAGAGCCTGCCGGTAGATGGAGAGAGTGAAGAGGGGCACAGGACTCTCCAAGTAAGCAGGCATCAGTAAGGGTCAGAAAACGGCTGTTCCAGGGAGTCTATGAAGAAGGAAGATGGGGCCAGGAGGAGGGCATTCAATCTTCAGGTAAGAATACAGAAGCACGTGCTGTCTAGTTAAAGAAGGAGGTTGCCAATGAGATTACGAGGGTCTAACTCCTAGCTCCTTCTCCCCTGCCCTGGTGTACCGCCTTAAGGCACTTCAGGCTGCACATCTGGGTACCACTGTCTGCCCCATCTGGCTTCTCCAAATCTAGTAAGGGAAAGAAAAAGAACACAGAAGAGGGGGAAGAATCAAGGCCAGTGTTCAGGGAGCACTAGTAATTTTAACAGAGACCCACCTAAAAAAAGCATAACGGTCATAAGCGTATCTATGAGGTCCTTCAGCCTCACCATCCAGCAGGAACCCCTCCGCAACTGCTGGACCTTCAAAAAAAAAAAAAAAAAGAAAAGAAAAAGTGAGGGGCGTACTTCGCATCAGTCCCAGTCCTTGGGGTTAAGGGGATCGGCAGACTGGGCCTCCGAACATGCAGAAGGGGGTGAGGGTGTCTTGAAATAGGCTGAAAGGTATAGAAAGGGAGAACGACCCCCGCCTGGCCTGCCTTGCCGGCGGAAGTGAGAAGCACTGAGGACTGAATAGGCTGTACGAGCGCTCAAGGGACCACTTGTTATCAAGGGTGTTGTTGATTACGCCACTGCCCCGCCTGCCCCGGGTCCGACCTGTGCGGAAAGGGAAATCCAAGGGGAGACGGAGGCCAGCTGGGATTTCTCATGCCAAGCGGTCTTCTCCATCTGCGGCTGGCGGGAAGGGCGACCCCGCGTAGCCACTTTCAGGTCTTGCGACCCGAGCGGCGTTACCCCGGAGACTCCCCTCCTGCGGCCGGCCAGCCCAAAGATCGTCTACCGGGTTCGGGCTGAGGGGCTCGCCCACAGGCCAGGGTCTCCTGCAGCAGACACGCCCCACTATGGGCAACTTGACGTCTGAGAGGCGCCATTTCCGCCCTCATCCTAGGCCTAAATAGAGGGGGCGGAGCCGAGCGGAAAGCGCTCTGCTTGTACGTCACGTCCGGTGAGCCTAGTGGCGACAACGGCAACATGGCTCTGAACGGTGCTGGTGAGGCTTTGGGCTGTTGGGGGCCTGTGGTTGCGGGGTGCAAGAGGTATCCCGCTCGGGCAAGACCCCTCTGTCTCTTGTGCCTCTCTTTCCCCAGAAGCCGACGATTTCTCCTGGGAGCCCCCAACGGAAGCGGAAACGAAGGTTCTGCAAGCGCGAAGGGAGAGACAGGATCGCATCTCCCGGCTCATGGGTGACTACCTGCTGCGTGGTTACCGCATGCTGGGCGAGACGTGCGCGGACTGCGGGGTGAGGAGAGACTCGGGACGTGGGATCCGGAATGGGGCCGCGGACCAGGCCGCACGGCCCTTTCGCAACTCTCCCCTCTGGACCCCATCGCCCTGCGTCTCATCCGTGCCCCCCGTGCACTCTGCTTCTAGACGATCCTCCTCCAAGACAAACAGCGGAAAATCTACTGCGTGGCTTGTCAGGAGCTCGACTCAGACGTGGATAAAGATAATCCGGGTGAGAGGCCGAGTGTGCTTGGTGGAGAAGCTGCGTGGTGAGAGAGGCCCGGGAACAGTAGGTTTGGGAGGTGACAGTGGAGTCTCTGGGTGAGGTGGAGGTAAGATACTTTCCCTTTTCGGCTCTAGAGAGGACCATTCACTCAGTAGGAGCACTAAATACTTGTGTGCCAGGCACTATAAAGAGTCTGAGCTCAATCGGGCATAGTCCTGATGGGAGAGATGAAGCAAGGGCATAAATAACTCTGGCACAAAGAAGAAAATGGATGAGTTACCTTATAGAGGGGCAGGAAAAACATCTCAAGCATAGAAAGAGCAGAACAGTAAAGATTAAGGAGGTGGCCCAGGGCTGATGGGGGACAGGCTTCCTGACCATTCCACCCACTTTCTCCTCTTTTAGCTCTGAATGCCCAGGCTGCCCTCTCCCAAGCTCGGGAACACCAGCTTGCCTCTGCCTCGGAGCTCCCCTTGGGCTCTCGGCCAGCCCCTCAGCCCCCAGTACCCCGTCCAGAGCACTGTGAGGGAGCTGCAGCAGGGCTCAAGGCAGCCCAGGGGCCACCCCCTCCTGCTGTGCCTCCAAATGCAGATGTCCTGGCCTGCACACAGGAGGCCCTCCTGCAGAAGCTGACCTGGGCCTCAGCTGAGCTGGGCTCTAGCGCCTCCTTGGAGACTAGCATCCAGCTGTGTAGCCTAATCCGGGCTTGTGCCGAGGCTCTGCGCAGCCTTCGGCAGCTGCAACACTGAGAGGCCCCTCCTGAGAAAAACCCTGTCCAGAAAAACAGCTATCCTCTTGTGTGGTTTGTTCTTTTCTTGGTTTTGAGTGTGCATGCCAGCTCCAGCTCCACTCGCCTTTTTCCTGCCTTTGCCTCTTACCCTACCAGTCTGCTCTCCTTGATGCCCTGAGAGATTAGTTGGGCTTGTTTGTGCTTGGTTTCCCCCACTCCGAATGAGGAAGGAGGGAGAGGACTATGAGACACTTTTTTTCTGAGGAGGAGGTCATAGCCTCCCTCAAAAGCAGGAACAAGAGGGGTGGACCTCTGCGGCATCCCTGCAGCCTCCTCAGCCATCCAGTGCTCAGTTCCCACCCTTGAGTGTGATTTTGGGTTCTAGTCCCCTTTGGTTACTTTCTCCTTCCCCTGAGCATTCTGTTAACCATCATCCTGACCCACCTCATGCCCAGCCCAGGTACTCAGACACTGAGACACTGACAGGGCGTCAGGTTGCCCGTTAGGGACCAAGTATGGACTTATCCAAGTCTCCCGATCCCCCACCCCCAGGTTTAGATCCTTTCCTTCGGGAGTTAAAATTGAGCAGATTAATTAAACACATTGTTGTGGGGGGGAGCAAAAAAGAACCTTAAAGGAACCGCGTTCGCCGCTTTTGGTCTCTTCGCCCGCCCCCTTTCCTGGCTCCCTTCCTGTGGATGCCCCATTCCTTTTCTCTGCTTTTCACGATGTGGCCCCACCACCGTAGCCCTTTTAAGAGAGGCCCCGCCCATGCGAAGGGGGTGGGGCAGGGGCGGAGTCGGAGGAGTCGGGGAAGGAACAAAGCGCGGCCTGCGGGCGGCAGCTGGGCTCGGCCGGCGGGGCCGCGCGGTGCGGGGCCTGCGGGCTGCGGCCCGGGCGGAGCGTTGAAGGGAAGGAGGCAGCATCGCCGTCCGCGCCGGCCGGGCCATGAATGGGCTGCCCTCGGCCGAGGCGCCGGGCGGCGCTGGCTGCGCCCTAGCCGGGCTCCCTCCGTTACCGCGCGGCCTCAGCGGTCTCCTCAACGCAAGCGGGGGTTCGTGGCGGGAGCTGGAGCGCGTTTACAGCCAGCGCAGCCGCATCCACGACGAGCTGAGCCGCGCGGCCCGCATCCCAGATGGGCCCCGCTACGCTGCGGGCGCCACCAACGCGGGACCCGCCGCCGGTCCCCTCGGCCCGCGTCGCCCTGTCAATCTCGACTCAGCACTAGCAGCCCTGCGCAAGGAGATGGTGAGTGGCTGGGCCCGGGGCCAGCTGGGCGGGGGGCTGCCGCCGAGCGTGAGGGTCCCGGGGCGGAGCACAGCCAGAGGCACAGAATCGGGAACTCATGGCTTGAGTCTCAGAAGAACTCCAGAAGCCGGTTGGGTCAGAGGGGATAGAGTAACAATGATTATAATTACCGTTTATGGCAATAGTTACCATGTATTTTCAATGCTCTTTTCGTGTTATTTCATTCCATCCTCCTAGGTAAATGTTATCCCCATTTTACAGGTGAGGGTCAGTGACTTGCCTAAAGAGTCACAGCTTGCAGGTGGCATCTGCTGTCCACAAAACTTTGTGCTTAGAAAGGTGCAGGAAGATTGGCTAGGGCTGAGGGTGGCCTGGACCCCAACCCCAGCCCACCCTCAGTCTTTTGCAGGTGGGGCTGCGGCAGCTGGACATGTCCCTGCTGTGCCAGCTGTGGGGCCTGTACGAGTCAATCCAAGACTATAAGCACCTGTGCCAAGACTTGAGCCTGTGCCAGGACCTGTCATCCTCCCTGCACTCAGACAGCTCTTATCCACCTGATGCTGGCCTGTCTGATGACGATGAGCCTCCTGATGCCAGCCTGCCCCCGGACCCGCCACCCCTCACTGTGCCCCAGACACACAATGCCCGGGACCAGTGGCTGCAGGACGCCTTTCACATCAGCCTCTGAAGAGCTGGGGGTGGGGGGAACATGCACCCATGCAAAAGGCTCAGAAACTCACCCCTTACTAGGTACTCAGACTTATAGTGCCTGCTTCCCCCTGTCCCACCTCACTTCACAAGAAGGCAAGCCTTGGGCCCCTCAGAGGCAAAGTTGCCAACCCCCTCTCTCCTGACTGGTTAGCTAGCACTGGGGCAGACATCTGGGCTACAGCCTTTGCCCCTGGCACTGGACCTCCTCTACTCCCATATGTGTGCACCCCAGCTTGGCCAACCTTCAGTCTGGTGGTGGGGCCCAAAGCATCTGGCACTCCCCTCGACGTCTCTGGGATTGGGATGAGTGCCTGGTTCCCATCTCCTTTTCACCTTGTGCTGCTATTGGCAGCTGCTGGCTCAGGGGCATCCCACCTCTGCTATCTGGGTTCCACTGCTCTAGACCAGGGCATCCCCATTCTTGCACCCGCCCACGGCCGGGAGGGCCAAGGCTCCGTGCTGGATATTTAAGTTTAGGGGCCAGACTCTTGGGCACAAAGGTAAATAAATACTCTCTCTGCGTTCTTGTGTTTTGAATGCCTGGCTCTGGGGCGGGGAGATAGTGGTGATTCTGGAAAGTGCGGTCCCGCGCTCCGCCGGCAGGTGGCGCCCAAGACCCCGGAGTGGAAGAAAGGCTTGCCGGCGACGGAGTGCGAATCCTCCCTCCACCGACCGGGCTGGGGAACATGCGGAGCTGGCCGAGCTAGTCCCGCGGTCTGCGACGGCGGGCGAGTAACTTCCCCTCTGGCCGGAGATCTGGGAGCCCAACCCTCCCCGCCCCCCCATCCCCAACTCGCTTTGGTCCTCCGGGAAGGAAGGAGAAGGAGCCGCCTATCTTGAGAAAAACTTTCCACCCCAAGTGGGGGCGGAGTTGGGGCGGCACAGGAAATGGGTGGGCCTGAGCCAGCGGGCCTAGGGGCCCCTCGGCGGGAGAGGGGAAGGCGCCTCCAGGAAGGGCCCGGGAGCTAGTGAGTGCTCTTTGGGTGGGAGGAAACAGCTGCAGAGGCAGAAGGGGGTGAAGTTCCGTTGGCCCACACCTCCCTAGAGGCCACATAAGCCCTGGGCGAGAGGGGGGGGGGGAAGGGGCAGGGCCCTGCGCTCCAGGGCATGAGATCCAGCTTCAGTGAGGAATGATTGGGTGCCAGGCACTCCCATTTTGCACTTACTCTCATACAGGCCGCCTGGCTCCCCCACAGCACTTGGAGCCTTTAGGCCTGTATGTAAGGGACTTTCTCTTACAGGGAAACCGAGGACCACACCCCTGGGCCTGGGAGCCAAACCCGCGTGTCAGGCTCGCCGGAAGAAGCCTGCACATTTGGGGATGCTGGGTGTTCAGACCTCCAGGCACACACATAAAACCCCCACAACTCCCTGAGACAAAGAGGAGGGACCTCGAAGTTACACACTTAGGTGTACAGGCTGCTCACCCCCACGCCCTGTGCACAGTCACTTGCCTCTGGAAACAACAGTGGGCACTCTTGGCAGATCAGATACCCTGTTCAAACCGAGAATCTATTAAGCACCAGGTTGCAGTCCATTCACAAATCTTGCTGAGTGCTGGCAGGGAGGGAAAGAAGCTGATATGCTGCCCCGGGGCAGTTCTCTAACTCTGGGCCTGATACCTGCAGGTGCTCATTACCATGCCGGGCCCGCGGGTAGGCGATAAGGGCTCTAATCTAGGTGTGAACAAGGCGGCTAACGCCTGGGGCAGGCTTCTTAGGGGAGGGAGAGTAAACACGTGTGTGATGAACGTGGGCGCGCACGCGCGCACACACGCACACTTTCCAGCCTGCGATAACGGATTCCGTTCAATGAGACCTCAGGAAATCAGCCAGTCTCCGTACTGAATGCTTCCCAAGATTTCATACTTTTAGTGACTGTGTAAGAGTCAGAACTATAATTATCCCTATTTAACAGAGGTAGAAACTGAGGCTACTTTGCCCAAGGTCACACACTTGTTGGAAATCAGCTGCTTGTGGGATGTTGGGACTATCTTCCCACTTGACAGCTAAGGAGTCAGGTGCCGTGCTGCCCACAGGTAGGGCCACCCAGGTTGACCCCTAACTGCTCCTTCCTACTTAGGTTGAGACCTGGGTGACAGCAGGAGTCTGCCACCCCAGTGTTGGCAGTTGGCTCTGGCCCAGATTCGCAGTGTGGCCCTGAGCAAGTCTGTTCTTTCTGGGGCTCTGTTTCCCTCATCTGTGAAATGGGGCCATCAGTGCGTACTTCCCACGGCTGCGGGCAGGAAGGGTGGCGGCCCGGGCAGTGCTCGCCGGGGCCGCACCAAGTTGCTGGTAGTTCTCTCCCCGGCCCGCGCGTCCACACCGCCTCCGCGCGCTACGAGCAGGCGCTGCGGTCCAGGCCTTCCCCTTGGTACGCTCCCCCCCCCGACCCCCCCGACCGCGGTGGCGGTGCGAGGCCCCGGAAGCCGGGCCGCCCCGCCCCCCGCTCCCGCCCCGGCCCCGGCCTCCGCCCCCCGCCGGAGCCCCGCCCGCCTTCCGACGGGGGTGCGGCTCCAGGAAACGGCGCGCTCGCGGCTCAGCGCTCCCGCGACCCGACGCGCCCCGGTCGAGCCCGCGGACTCAGCGGGACCACCCGGCGGGCCCCAGCGGGGGCAGCGGGGTGATCGGCCCCGGGTCCGAGCCTCGGACATCTCCGACGGACGGGGCGGGCAGCGCGGAGAGCAGCCCGGGAGGCCATGGGGACCCAGGCCCGGCCAGCGGTCGCGGGCCAGCGGGAATCCCAAGTCTGAAAAGCCGGCGGCGGGGGCGGCGGGGGCCATGACCTCGGTGTGGAAGCGCCTGCAGCGCGTGGGCAAGCGGGCCGCCAAGTTCCAGTTTGTGGCCTGTTACCACGAGCTGGTGGTGGAGTGCACCAAGAAATGGTGAGTGGCAGGGAGGCCCGGGGGGCTCCGCAGACTCGCCGGGACCCCATGAGGCCGCTGGAGCCCGAGAGAGCCCTGCCCCCAGCCCGATGGCCCCTTGCCCCCACTTTGGGCCCTGGTGTCCCAGACACAGAGACTGAAAAATGCCTTTGCAGCTTGTGGGACCCCTGGAGTTGGGGGTGTGGGTCGCTTTTGGGGAGTGGAGGTCAGAAC